TCCTATGCCAGAAGTAGTGAGGGACTTTCTTGGTCACCTCCTAATAGTATCACATGAGGGAAGGTGGTTAGGACTTTAGGATAAAAATTAGGAGAAACACAGACATTGAGAATACTAGCAATCTTAAAAACATTTTCATTTTGCAAGGTACAGAATTTCTGGAATATAGTCTCTTTCATTTGTATTTACAGCCTGGCCAGTTCTTTGTAATACATTCCTTAAGTCTTTCTGGATTTAAGAGAAAAATCTTTTGGTCTTATGAGAAAATTATGCAACTTCAGACCAGGTATCCCTCATGGCAGCAAGAGGGCAGGCCCCCCAGTAAGCATGCATTTGCAAGCATTTTGTTTGTCAGTGCTGTTAGAGAAAGAATAACTTAATGTCAATCTAGGAAAGGGCTGCACAAAGGCATGGATACTTAGATGTACAATGCAACACCAACTATAAGAGAAAGTCTGAATTTTAGGCTATAGGGCCATACAGTCGCCAACATAGCTTCTCAAGGCTTTTATTAGACAGAGACAACATTATTTCCAGTAATGGGGAGTGGACTAATCTGACCCACTACTGATTTGGAAAAGAAACCCTTATCCAGTCTCTGTAGCAAGGAAGGAAAGGTGGCTCCTTATGCTTTGGCTTAGCATTAGTATATATCAGTTCTGCCTTTAGCCCATTGGTTAAAACTAATAACATGGCTGCACCTAACTGCAAGGTGTGGGAATATAATCCTGTCCTGTGCTGGAAGGTGAAGGAGCTAGACACCAGAAAATGCCACATGTCTGTACCATAAAGCCACTTTTCGAGGTTGGCCATTCAGATTATGTGTCTGTGTTTCCTGTGGGCCAGGCACAGGGGGAAGTGCTAAGGAAAATGACATAATGCCTTGGAGTGCATAATGCTTTCATGGAGTGCACACAGAGACCAGGGTGGCTAGTACCTAAGAAGAGAACATTGCACACACTTTCTGGGCTGTTCATTCATCTCGTCATTTATACACTTTACTTTTTGACCCTTAGGCCATGAGCAACTGGAGGATATGATTTTATTTTCTCTGATAACTGATTCTTAATAGGTACTCTGTTTGTCAAAGACTGAATGAAATGGTTAAATTATGGAGCCATCAGGTGAAAACAAGGGTTTCTTTAAGTTCCTGGGGTCCTGTGTATAGGTCCCTAATTCTCTCTTGGTACCTAATTCCTGATCACTCCAGCTGCACTCCACAATTTTTTGAAGTTGAGGTTTGTTTCTCTGCCTACAAAAAGAAACAAGGAGAGGTGCCGTGGGTCTGTTTCTTCTTGTTAAAGCACAGATCTGCACCTTTAGGCCAGATCCCATAGCCAGAATCTGGCCACGTCTTCCCTGCAGCTCTCTGGTACAGAGCGTTAGGAAGCTCTCTGTCCTGTGACAGCTCTCAGTTTATGATATTTGGCTCTTTCCTGCCCTTTGTCACATACACTAAACTAAATCATATGATACGAAACTTCCTACCACCCCTAAGAGATTATAAAAGGTCAAATCTTTCCTTTGTTCTGGGGATTTGATCCAGAGAAACACCTCAGGGAAATTTGTTGTGAGAGGAACTCTAAAGGCTGCTCTCTGAAGAGGCTCCTCTGCCCCCTCAACCCCTCGTCCATCCCATGGCAGAGTCATGTTCTCTCACCCCCCCATCTCTTATCTCCCTCGCTTCAGTGAAGCTCCTCCAGGCTATAAAGAAAGCCTCTTCCCTTTAAAGCCCCATCATGTTTAGATCTCTATTACTGTGTCGTATCTTGCTAATGCTCTTCCTCCTACCTCAAGGCCCAATCAAGGTCTTGAGGCCCATCAGTTCTAATATATATCATAACTAGAAGGAATTATGAATGAATGTCAGCTTCCTTTCTAGACCAACTATTGCTGTTATCTCTACCTCCCATTCTCTGTGGAGGGACACAGCAAAATCTGTCTCGAGTCCAGGCTTTTTGTTTAAAAGTACCTTAAAATTTTAGGCTAATTTTCCTGTTTTTTAAAGTCTGTTGGGCAGTTAACACAAACCATCAGGCTGCCTTGTCCTTATTATCTTGGCTATTCAAGCATTTTTATTCCAGAATCCCTAAAGATGACCCTGACAATGAGCTGAACACTAAATAGTTCTCAGTTCCCATCCTTCCCTTTCTTCCCTTGAGGTGGGATAGTTAAGATTTTCAGCACTCTCTACTTAATACCTGGGTCATAGGTTGAAGTTATAGATAGTCCCCAGAAAACAGAATGTAGAGGGGAGCAGCAGAGAGCCTTAAAGTGGTTGTTCCAAGTGAATAATCCAGGATCTAAGCCAGTAGAGAAACAGACCATACAAAGAGATGGTTTTTAATTTTTTTAAGTTACATTGTGTGTGTGTGTGTGTGTGTGTGTGTGTGCGTGCGCACACGCGCACGCTGAGCTCAGAGAACAACTTGCAGGAGATGATTCTCTCCTTCTACCATGTGAGTCCTGGGGATTGAACTCAGGCTTGGTAGCAAGTGCCTTTACCCATTGAGCCATATTGCCAGCCAAGAGGTGGCTTTTTTCTTTTTCTTTTTTTTCTCTTTTTGAGACAGGGTCTCCCTGTAGCCCCAGCTTGCCTGGAACTTGCTATGTAGACCAGGCTAGCCTCAGTCTCACAGGGATCTGCCTGCCCCTTCCTCCCGAGTGCTGGAACTAAAGGTGTGTGCCACCACACACCCAGCTTAATTCTGACTTTTAGGATAATAAAGTTAATTCTTATTTGAGAACAAGTAGAGCAAATCTGGGAATAAATATTTTTGGAAACAGAATCCTTTAGAATAAGTATTTTTGGAAAGCAGTCTTTTGGGGAGATTCAGTAAGGCAGATTTACTCATTCTTAAGAAGTTTTGGTTTGTTTACAATTTTGTTTATAATCCAGGGGCTAGAGAGATGGCTCTGACATTAAGAGCACTGGCAACTCTTGAAGAGGACACAGGTTGGGTTCCCAGCACCCACATGGCAGCTAACAACTGTCCGTAACTCTAGTTCCAGAGGGTCCAATGCACTCTTCTGGCCTCCACAGGCATTGTACAACATGAATGCAAACCCTTCATACATTAAAAAATAAAAATAAATAATTAAAAAAAAATTTTAAGAAGTTTGTGGTCTAAGGTTGAGTCAGATCTGTAAACATTTATACTGTAAACAATTTACCTAATACACGAACAGTAAAATTTGTCATTTGGTAGAAATACAATTGAACTGCTTTTATAGAGTAAAACTGAGGAGAGGAGTAGGAAAGAATAGCCTAACAGAATGGATAGCTGTGTGTGAAAATGCACAGGATTTTGAAAGGACTTGGGGGGGCGGGGCGTATGCTCTAGGCACAAGGAGCAGGAGTTGTTCTCTAGTTTGCTTTTCCGTTGCTCTGACCAAACACTTTGACCAGTACCAACTTGGGGAGGAAAGGTTTATTTAGCTTACATCTCCTGGGTCACAATTCATCAGGGAGCCCACGGTAGGAACTCAGGGCAGGAACCTGGAGGCAGGAGCTGAAGCACAGGCCATGGAGGATTGCTGCTTACTGGCCAGCCTGTGCTCAGCCTGCTTTCTTATACAATACAGAATAACCTGCCCAGGGGTGGCACCTCCCACAGTGGGATGGGCCCTCCCACATCACTCAACAATCAAGAAGATGCCCCACAGACATGGTCACAGGCCAGTCCAATGGAGGCAATTCCCCAATTGAGAGTCCCAGGTGTTAACAAGTTGATAACTAAAGCTATCTAGCACAGGAGTTCAGAGGGGGAACCAGTGCACAAGAAAGCAACCCAGTGACCTTAAAGTTGCTTCCAGGGTCCGGAGAGATGGCTCAGTGGTTAAGAACACTGGTGGTTCTTGCAGAAGACCTGGGTTCGAATCCCAGCACTTACATGGCAGCTAACAACTGTCCGTAACTCCAGTCCCAGGGGATCCAACGGCCTCTTCTGCCCTCTGCGGGCATTGCACAACCTACATGCAGGCAATACATGCGTACATATAAAATAATAATAAATATTTTTTTTAAAAAAAAGTTGCTTCCAAATGTGAGTCCATGACTCTCTCCAGTGAGTCTGTGTAAACCCTCTCTAGTGCCCCTTTGTGTGGTCAAAATTAGATACATTCACTACTTGTCAAGTAAACACCTAGCTTTGTTTACCCAGGAATCGTCAGTTTTTGTTCTTTTACTTGCTATCCTAACAATAATAAAGGGTTCAGACTTATACGTAAATGATACTACAAATCATGAGAATCAATATTCCCAAGTGCAAAGAGGTTCTTGCCTCTGCCCTCAGGTAATCTTGGCTGTGAACATGATGTTCTTGGAGTTGTTTTTCACAGACTTCTGGTCTGTTTTCAAATATCCATTTAAGCAGCTTTGGTATTTAACACTAAAAGGACATCTGTTCTGCTGGCCTGAACCTGGCTTCTGAGATAGAACGTTTTTAGCTTTTAGTCTACTCTTTCATGGTAGAAAAATTCATTTTGATTCTAAGCAAATTAACTTTCTTGAAATTCTTAGTTATATGAGGGACCTTGGGGATCTTATTGCTAGGTTTGGAGGTATTTTATTTTTTATGCTCAGCATGTGGGGGTACCCCATAACAGTAAGTCAACACTCAGGAGCTTGAAAAGATTTGCACATTGCATTTGAAGTTCTGAGTTGTAGGAGGTTTTCCCACACAGATTCATATGCACATATAAAGCTGGCCCCATGGCTAGCCTCCAGCCCATACAGTTAGTTGCCAATTCCAAAAAGTAGAGAATGAAGACACTCATTCCCCATCATCCATCATTTTTTTTCTATGAACCTTACAGCTGGATATTGAAAAATCTGGATTTGATTTCTTTCAAGTCAACTGAATAGCCTGTACACATGGATATAAAGAAGTTTAACCAGGAAGTGCTTGTGGTATTGAATCAGAACCTGAAACATTTGAAGTCAGCCATTTCAGCAGCGTTCTTGCTTTTTAATCAGATTCTGAATATTCTTTTGGCAGGTTGTGTTCCTCACTGGCTTTGGCTATGTGTATGTGGATATTGTCCATCAGAGTGGCACAATCTTTATCACTATAGGCCCAGAAGGAAAGGCAGGACCTATTTTAACCAACACCAACAGGTAGGTTTAAATAATTCCATAGTAGTAGTCTAGTAAGCTTTCACATGAAGTTGTAAACCTGTTATTTACCATTCTTGTCAAAAAATATGTATGTATATATACTAAAGTTTTGGTTAATTATCCTATAATCCATAAGTAAAGCTCTAGTTATTAACATTAAATCATGCCTACAGCATATATATGTAGCAATACATTATCTTTTTTGAATCTCCTAGTTCTTCTATGGTAAATTTAACAAACTGGCTTATAAGACATGCAACTTAGAATTATGTCATTATAATTAGCACAAAATGCAAAGTACTATTTCTATATCCACATAACAACTTTTAAGTAACTCTACTTAACAATTAGAGTGACAGTAAATACAGATATACCTCCTAGAGTCAAGTGTTCCTCCTATAACATGAGTGTTGCAATCTAGATTTTAAACACAAACCAAAGGGATTGGGGAGATGACTCAGTTGGGTAAAGTACTTGCTGCCCAAGCATGATGACCTGAGGTAAGATACCCACCACCCATATAAAAGTCAGATGTGGCATCATAAGTCTATAAACCCAGCACTGAGAAGATGTAAACAGGCAGATCTTGGGGACTTGCTGCCCAGACAGTCTGGCCAAAATGGCCCTAAGTTCAGTGAGAGACCTTGTCTCAAAAAATAAAGTGTCGAGGGAACAACAAGATAGTCTAGCAGGTAAAAGTGCCTGCTACCAAGTCTGACTACCTGAGTTCCAGCCCCATGGTAGAAGGAGAGGACCAACACCCACAAGTTGTCTTTTGATCTCCACACATGACCTCCCCCTCCCCCAATAAAATAAATAAAAAATTAAAATATGGACCAAGCAAAGAATTAATATCCTTAATTTAAAATAAATAATATAATTCAGTAGGAATAGGAATATCCCATCCTTCCAAAACAAAAATAAGGGTAAAAGACATGAACAGAAAATTATAGGAAGAGGAAATTGAAATAATCAAAGAAATGAAAATTTAAATATGATACCTATCAAATTAACAGTGAGATTTCATATTCAGTTCTCATAGAAATGTAAATTGGTGCCATTTTCTTGAACATGCTTCAGTACTATGTATTAAGAGCTCTAAAATCCCTTTGGTTTAGAGATTCCACTTTGAAAAATTTAAGAGTTAAGAACATAATTAAAGAAGTAGGCAAGGATATACATGGAGAGGTATTTATTGCATTGTTAATTACAGTGACAGAATCTTCAGGGTTCAAATGCTTATCAGTAGGGAATGGGTGATGCAGGACTATATCACAGCTGGTATATCATAAAATACATATGTTCATGAATGTCAGTGGAGTAGAAGAAGCATGTGATATGATGTCAAGTAAAGCAAGCAGGTTATAACATTAAATACAGAGAATTACAGTTACATGCCATCTGTGTAAATAAGCACACAAATATCATTTTCAAATATTTATTTTTTATAAGTACTTTCAATAGTTTGTTATTTTTTATTTTTATTTTATGTGTATGTGTGTATTGCCTGCATGTAGGTAAGTGCACCCATGTCATGCAATGCCCACAAAGGACAGAAGAGGCTGTCAGATCCCCTGGTACTGGAGTTACGGACAGTTGTTAGCTGCCATGTGGGTGCTGGGATTTGAACCTGGATCTTCTGCAAGAACAGCCAGTGTTCTTAACCGCACTGAGCCATCTCTCCAGCCCCTAAATATTTATTTTTATTTTATGTGTATAAGTGTATTGCCTGCATGTATGTAAGTGCACCCATGTCGTGCAATGCCCACACAGGTCAGAAGAGGGCATCAGATCCCCTGGAACTGGAGTTATGGATGGTTGTTAGCCTCTATGTGAGTTCTGGGAATTGAACCCAGGTCCTCTATAAGAGCAGTCCATGCTCTTACCTGCTGAGCCATCTATCCAGCCCCACAAATATAGTTTCTAAAAGACAACACTGGAAAAGAAAGAAAAAAAACATCAAAATTAGTAATAGATGTAGGGTTTTAAGTGCTTACTTAATAATTCCTGTATTTCAATTTTCTGTAATAGCATCTATATATTTTATAATCATAAAAATAATTTAATTTACAATATAAAATAGTAATACTAACTTTCGTACATTTGTATAAGGCTTTTAAAAAACTCTTTACAAAAAGCCGGGCATGGTGGTGCACGCCTTTAATCTCAGCACTTGGGAGGCAGAGGCAGAGGCAGGCAGATCTCTGTGAGTTCGAGGCCAGCCTGGTCTACATAGTGAGTTTCAGGACAGCTGGGGCTAGGAGAAATGATTTTAAACAGAAAAAAAAAAAAAAAAAAAACCTCTTTACATCTATGTGTAACTAGGAACTCATTAGTTTGGACTCTTACTAATTTGTATTTATAGTATTTCAAAAGGTATTAGATGGATGGGATGCTTTCTTTTCCCAAAAACGTTTGTGAAAAACAATAATAATAGTATAATAAAATTTAAATAATATAGCACAACCTTTCAAGCCTTCATAAGTATTTCAGCAATTTTTATCTAGGGCATACATGTTAATGATAGTAGCCACAGCTCACATATTGGAGTAGAACTAAGATTAGGACAAGTGTGTGTTCGTACTTCTTTGACTTGTGCTTCCTGGATCCATTTGTTCAGTGACTGTTTTTCAAGGGCTTCATGGATGCTAAATCTGTCCTAGGGGTGGGGATGTATTAGTGAGGAAAAAGACTGAAACCCTTGCTTGAGATTCCATTCTCACAGGCACAGAATACAGGAGGCTTGAACAAAGAATAAACATAGTAAAAAGGAAGCATTATGCTATAGTGGATCAGCATTCTACAGGAATTTAAAACAGCAGGCAATAACTCATACACATAAAATAAAAATAATAAATAAAATATTTTTTTAAAAAGCCCCCATGGGGATGGAGAGATGGCTCCATTATTAAGAGCACTGGCAGCTCTTACAGAGGACCTGGTTTTGGTTTCCAGCATCCACATGGTAGCTAAGAATAATCTACAACTCCAGTT